AAATTTTCAATTTTCATGTTGTGCTTTGTTAGAGTTTGTTAATGAAATTGAAACCAAATATTTGATCAAGTGTTATCTATACATAATGATTTTTACCGTCAATCGATTGATTTTGAAGTAGATTAATTTGAATTTGCTTGAAAATTGTGAAATTTGAGACTTTAATAAGTTTTAGGTTATTTAAATCCTATGTCATGTATTGGTTTTGTAGTTTTTTAATGTGGTTCTACTTAATTATTTAAATCTTTTGCCATGTATTGGTTTTAAAGTTAATTAATGTGGGTCTACTTGGATCAATTTAAGTATAACATAAAGGGGCGAAATATTGGAGACCTTATACATTTGTATGTATCAAATTTTGACATTTTTACAATAGAATGAATCTTTGGATTTAACAAATATTGATGATTTATTGATTTAGTCAATTTGAGTTATACGTTTCCTAAGCATTAATTTTGTAGAGGAGTAGTTTTGTGTCTTTTATTGTAGGTGTGTATAAGTATTATGCGCATATGTGAGCCAGGTAATTCAAATTTAATTATTACTTAAGGTTTGGTTAATTTAATATAAGTTTTGTGAATAAAATAAATCTATCTTTTTTCTTTTGTTCCTAGAAAATCCAATTTATGTGTACATTTATGGAAATATGATTTGTATCCCAAAATTGTTTTGATGTTCAAATGTAAGGTATTAATCTAGGTTTGATTCATGGTTTTGTATTTATTTTTGGTTTTTTGATCAGTTAGATGATTTAATGTTCTTAGTTTGGACTCTTTTGATTTTTTTTTATGTTTAGAGTGGTTGGTTGAATGGAATTTGATTGACTAAGAATTTATTTTTTTGCTTATTAGTTGTTCTAACAGTAGCTGATCTTGAAATTTGATATGCATTATGACAAAGAAAAAGTATGACGCCATGGACAAGCGACCCAACACAAGTTAGGTCCCTGTTTCTCTCTCTATATTGATCTCTTTGTCTTCAATACACAATCACACACACTCACACAGAGTCCACAGTATACAACACAACACACACAAAGGCACACAAAGCACCCACACGTGCAAAACTAGCACATACACTTAGTTTTTAGAAATTATATTGTTGTTGTGTACTGATGGTTTGTGAGGTTTTAATTACCTAATTTTAGTATTTTTTTTTTTGTTTATTATTTTACGCTCACTAAATTTTGCAGAACCTGAATTGTGGCACGAGACAAACATTCCATTTTTTTCCTATGCAGGGTCAATTGAGTGCTTTGTGTATGTGAGTGTGTTTTGAATATGGTATTATGTCTTTTTTGAATGAGGTAATTTCCCTCGCTATAATGCTACTTTTTATGCCGATATATTATGTCCATTAATCATATGGTCTCTATTGGGTTTATAGGGTTGACATTTGATACTTTTTCATTCGGGGTTTAAATTTCTTTAGATAGTGCAATAGATGTATCAAAGGTTGTCCAATTGACGCCATGGACAAGTGACCGAACATGGTCTAGGTCCCCCTCTCTCAGCCTTCAATACGCACTCACAATCACACACACACACATAGTACACAAAACATCACATAGTACACACCAACAACAATTCACACCCACACTCCCATCGCACATACTCCCATTTGCTAATTGTCGCTAGTGAATTGAAATTGATGGTGACCAAAAAAAAATGATGTGATAGTTGGTAAATAATTGTGTTTAAAAGGGATTATTGCACTTGCAAAGTTTTTTTGTTATCTTTTTTTGTCTATTTGTATTTGAATAAACTAGGGTTTTTAAATTGAGGTTTTTTGTGTAGAGGTTTCAATTTTAAGGTTCCAATAACATTGTGAGTCGTTGTTAGAGAAAGTTAAGAGGTCTATATGAGTTTTTGTAACCCTTGTGCTCTTTAACTTTTTTAAAAGTTTTGTATTATTAAAGTTTCAATTATATTTTAAAGCTTAGTAAGAAGATGAGATACCATAATGGGTACTAGTTTTTAGGCGCAATTATATTTTAGTCATTACTTTAATCCCTATTTGTTGAAAAAGTTTTTTTTAGCTATTGAATCCTATTGTGATGATTCATATGAAGAATTACTTGATTTTAATTTTGAAATTATATTAATTTTGTAGGGTGGTGTTATATTGTGAAGGTGCGGTGGAGTTTTGATTTTGGTTGGTGTATGTGAAGCCTTACAACAATATAAATTACGATTCATCTCGCAAAAATTGTCCATGAGTTTCTCGAATGCCCTATACATTATACATTCTTTTTTGAATTTATATTAATGGTTGTAAAATTTTTCTATTGATGATTGTAAAATATGTTGTTGTTCTTGGACTTTTTTAAATTCTATTTGATATGGAATTTTGGGTTTGGGGGACCATTTTTTACGTATTGGTTGTTGCAAGTTTATAATCTTCTTGAGTTGTATGGTTTGATTTGATTTTTGGACAATGTTATATTTTATTGAAGAGGCTATATATTAGTTTAGATTTGTTTCTTTACTTTTTTTTCATATGAATGTGTGAATTAATTAATAAGGTTTTTTTAGTAACTACAATATGATAATGTCTTTGAGTTAGGTTGAGTAATTTATTTTGAGATAGTTATGCAATGATTTGTATTGGGTCATGCAATGGTTTGTGTCGAGCAATTATATATACAATGAGATATATATACTCTGTAGGCAAGTTGAGATTTTTTTGAACTCCTAATTTTAGAATAAATTTTGTCGAAAAAACTATATAATTTTTTTTAAGTTACAAAGTGCCTTTAAGCGCGAGTTATTACTAGTTATATAATAAATCACATAAGAAGTTGAATTTTATCCCTTACATATTTTTTCTCTCAATTCTATCACTTCAGTCATCTTATCACATGCTCAATCATTTAGTATTTAATTAATTTATAGTTTAACATAATTTTTATTTCAAATATTTTATATATATATATATACGATAGTATACACATGTTGAGAAAATTTTGTTAATATTTTTTAAAAAAAATGGGTAAAAATAAATTTTAAATGATGTAATCAAATAAAAGAAGAGAAAAATTATTATTTAATATAATGAGATCGATTTTTTTGGCCGCTCGTCTTTGTCACTGGGTTTCAGAAGAAAGACGAGTGAGAGAGAGAAACAAGCGAGAGCAAGAGAGAGACAGATGAGGGAAAGAGACAAAAAAAAAAGGATTTTATAGTTGGGCAATTTTTTTTTTTTTATTTTGTTGCTAATGAGATTTGAAGGTTGGACTTCATTAATTGTTAATAGGGATGTGTGTGTATTTTTAGTAAAAAGTTTTAACTAATGGGTTTTTAGTCTAATAATACTTTTTGTTTTATAAAGGCTTTGTCTTCTTGAGGTTAAGGGTTCAAGTTCTATTCCCCCTTCTCCCTTCCCTCTCCCCCCCAAAAAAAAAGATGTTTTTAAAAACATCATTTTTGGTGTTTACAGATTTGAACCTTGTTTTCAAAACAATATGGCGTAAAAAAAAAATAAAAACACATCACAAACACATTGTTTTTTTATTTTTTGGCAAAAAATCAGAACAAAAACAAAAAAAAAAAAAAAAAAAAAATACAACCACACGGTTACCAAACGCAACCCTGGTATATGATATAACGGATTCGGATTATCAATAAAAAATGCCAATTCACTCTGATTTGAAAATTTCGGATTCTGAACAAAATTCATTCGTTGATGGGCCTGGGTGCCAAATCTCAATGGGTTTTCCTGAACTAATTCTGTTACATAGATGAAGCTCTTTTGTTACTATATCAATGGTTTTTGAATTAATCTAGTTATTAGATTCACCAATACAATACGGAGTAAACACCAGATACATGTAGTCATTAATTAACCACAACTATTTTTTAAACTCAAAAATAAAAAATGAGAATCTAACCTAGAACATCTCAACTTATAATTGAGCAATTTAACATGAACTTAAAAAATAAATTTAAAAAATAAATTTGATAATTACAATCATTAATTTTACTATGAGTCTCAATATTTATTAGAACTCATTATCTATTCAATAATTATAATTTTCATATCTAATTTTTAAATTTATATAACATTACTCTTTACAATTTGCCAGAAATCCAATCCACACTACTAAGCTACCTGTATGTGTTGATCCAAGCAAGTTGCATGCTTATGTAGAGAGCAGATATATATTCCTTTCTATTCATATATTTTTGTGGGGGGTTTTGGTACCATCTAATTAATGTAGCAAGGGGGTTGCTTTTGTTACGATCTATATAATAGAATACATATTGTTATTTATACAAAGCACAAAAACAATTCAGATTATTCAGATCCGACGATTTATATTATGAATTATATTTTAACTACAGTAACTCAATTTATTTATATTTAACCTTTTAAATATGATAAAAAAAAACGTATTTTACGCAAAAAAATATTCTAGTTAATATAAATTTGGTCTTGTAAATCTTTTAGAACTGTCATGGTCATTGCAATCAGCTGGATACATAGCCACACAAAATAGAAAATCTCCTCGAGAGACAACTGGCTATATTTTCTATTATTATCTATTGTTAGAACATCTCCAATAAAGATTCAAATCCTTACTTAAATTTGAATAACAAAAAAAAAATTAAAAAACTTGATTTAGTATAGACAGACACAAACCAATTTTTAAAGGAAAATAAACTCAAATTTAAACAAGGGTAAACCCAAATTTAAAATAATTTGACCATTGAATCTATAAAAATAATATATAATCTCACTATTAAAAATTTGGGTTTACAAAAATAATTTCCATTAATTTGAGATTAAATAAAAATTGCTTCATTTAATATTGGCATTAGTCTAACATTAAAAAGTTTTTTAAGAGTTTTTTTTAACCTTTTCATAAGGTTTAAAAAAGGATAAGGATCTGAGATCGTCTTAAATCTATCATGTCTTCTCACTAAATTTAGATTTTGTTTGTGAACTTTTGATGCACATTACTTTCTATCCCGTTGGCCGTAGCACAGGTTAGACTTCACTCTCGGACTTTAATTGTCATCATGTTTTGAACCACACACAAAGCATGTTTGCATCAACTGGTTCATAAAAAGACGAGACCAGGTGCTGATACTCAAGTAGAAGTACAAATACCACACCGAAGAATAACTAACAATGTATCAATATGCATCAATGATTTGTGCTTTTTTTTTACTGCAGCTCACTTGAAAGATTTGCATAATGCTTGGTAAAAAGATAAAAAGGTAGTAAGCTACCAACCACACTCCGCATGCTTATAAGGATATAAAAACTAAAGCTTTTATACCCTCAATGAGACCTTGTGAGCTCAAGAGCCTCTCGAACTTGGCTCGATTAATGGATTCGGAGGCTCGTCCAAAGGCTATGAATCAGCAGTTGGCACGGAATGGGTTTCTGATGATCTAACTATCTCTTCAAAGGTTTCCATGTCGATGGTCATATCATCATGGACATCTGCCTCCTCTACCTCGCTCATTATTTCATCCCCATCTCCCGCCATAGGCTCTGCCCCATTTTGTACTGAACTGGACTGCAGCTCTGAATCCACAGTTCCTGTTTCTGGTTCATTCGATTGTTGGCCTGTTGGTGGATATGGACCAGTACTGATTGTCAATGTAGATGTCACCAACAAATTCTGCATACAGGGGGGAAAGATATCATCAGTCATCACCTAAACACCAGAAATATAGCTAATGAAATGGTATATAAACTACTACTTTTTAATGATACAAAGGAAGCGTCCCACGATTTTCAATCTTTCTCTTTTTCGATTACTAAATTTTTTTCCAGACATGTGGACAAAAGCCAGCACACAATATACTCAACTAGCCCACACCTACACTAGACTGCTGACATAACCTGTTAACTGAAATGACAGACACAGGACCTAGTTGTAGGACACGACCAAGTATAATATACATTGACCTCCCTAAGTCTATAATTATTTCCATTACAGCAAAGGGTCGCATAAAGAAAAAAGTTCATTAAGCCTTTCTTACATTAAGCTCCTCCTTAGACCCAAAAATGAGTTAAGGCTAAAAGTAACCCAACCCGTAAATAATTTTCCTAATTACTTATAAAATGAATTTCCCTTACAAAAACAAGAGGTCGAAGAGCACAATGAAAATGTAAGATTTCTATCAGACACACAATGAGATGAGATAGAAGTTTCCCAATAAAATATACCTTAGCCATTGAATCTAAGAACTCAAAGTTTCTTATCAACAAATGATAATAATAAAACCCACAACAGTGGTAGAAAATCAAAATCCACCAACCACACCAAGAAATACTAAATTTGATATCAAAAATCAATTTTTTTACCAGACCTGTGGTTGTGCACTACCGGAAAGATTACTTTACAGGACAAGAAAAGATCAAGTTAAGGCAAGTAAAGCAGTCTGGTGCCAAAGAAGGCAAATCATCTAAACACAATTCTTCTTCAACTTTAGAAAGCAAAAGTTTAAGTAAAGATTAACTGCCACAAATGTCTCTAAATAGATCCCAACCTCAAAGAAAAATGGTCCAAAAATTTCAAATGGACTACTATATAAATTCAATCACCATACCTTTTCTAGTGCTAGAGCGAGTTTAGAGAGATTTGGATAAATGCTTTGTGCAGCCAATAAGATCTGTTAATAAGAGGTTTAAATATGAGACAAAAGTAAGATAGATACAAAAAATCAGAAACAAAATACAACAAGGTACATCAAGGATGCTAGCTACATTAATATTCAAAACGAAGTAACATAATTACCTCACAAAGTCTCTGCAGGGTAAATGGAGGACCTTCCACAAAGCTATGAAGAGCTGCAAAACAAAATAATATACTATGAATGCCTCCCTGAGAAAAGAACTTGAAAATTCAAAAATGATACATATTGCAACAAACTTTAATTTGTGAAGAATTCACCATCTCAGCAGATAGAATAGTATTTGGTTGACATAAAGGTAGTGCAATGGATAATGGGAGCCTAGTGAACACAGAAGCAAATCTGGCATCCCTTTGCCACCTTTTCTTATTACATCTATTTTCCTGTCTCGGTGGCTTGTAGCGTAAACTCTTAAATGTCCCCCCCCCCCCTCCCCAAAAACAAAAAAAAAGAAAAGCCACACACACACACTCACACACTAGAGAACCAAGAAAAATAGAAAGGAAAATCCACCTGTTTTACAACTAAATAAGAATGTCAATATTAACTTCTGCCCCAACAAAAGGGAAATGGTTAACTCGATAGCCTTCTATACTTCCAAATGCTCCCTTCATGTTACAGCAAAAATTAGACTCCATGTTCTATAAAAAAGATACGAGAGAAATGGTCTTCTAAGCAAATTTTGCAATTTTCTGCAGGCATTTGATCACACAAGAAATGGGAGCCACAAAGCAGAGTGCGCTAAAAGAAACAGTAAAGGTACATGACTGCGGGAATACCATCATCCAACCTTTTCACCAACTCCTGATAGTCCTCTCCTAAAGAAGAACTTTGTTGCTCGCTGGTCATTTTTGCCTCCGGATACTCTGAGAGGACCTGCACGATAAGATCAAACAGGTAGAAAGTAAGGACTATCACCTAAAATCTAAAACAACTGCCGCCCTCGTAGACTTCTTTCACAATTTAAGAAAACTAGAATGATCATCTGACATACGCGGGCAGCCTGGCATACCTCCACATACCTGCTTTAGATTAAAAGATAGCATAGCCTTCAACTTGTCCCAATCATGCCTGAGGTGCAATGCACACGACATGAGTATTTCATAACGTTTAAAAAGGTGTAATACGCACCAACTTACATCATGCCAATGGTACAACAAACACAAGATGGATATTTCAACATGAAAGAGAGGGGTGATACCTATTAGAGTGTATATATATGTCAAAAGTTAGAAACACCATACTAAACTTATATGATGAGGTACAACAAATGGGAGCACAAACAAGTATATGGCGTATAACAAAGCTGAAAAGACTTTAACACAACTCCCAAGTCAGTCTGTGGTCTTGACAGAATTGAAGCATGGCACTGAGTTCAGTGTAAACACTGCAACATTAATCTCCTTACTAGACTAAATTGTAGCCCAGGATGAAAATTGGTAGAGAGTTTATATACATCTTGTACCAAGTACCTAATTAAAGTTACACTATTATTTGAGAAAATTACTGTAAGAATATGGCAACACTACCAGTAGCGGGAGTGGTAGCGGCAGTGTGGAGATGGGCCTTAGCAGCAAAAGTGGAGGTTTGGTGATGGTAAAGCTTTTGACAATGAAGGTACAGTCAACAGCAACAGCAATGGTGCGTTGCTACCATATACCTAAAAGATCATCCGCAATGGTGGCATATTTGATTAACATGGTGCTAGCTTTATTGACAATGATGACAAAAAATCCATTTAATCGCAACAACAGCAGTGGTCAAAGCAACTTTAACCACGATACAATTAACTAATCATGTCAAAATCTCATATTCTAACATGACACACTAATAACATAGGTGACACGATATGACCCGTGTAATATGTTCAATAAATAATTTGCATTGTGTTAGGTGGGCCATGGGTTAAACATGTTGCACCGGTCATATTCATGCCAAAAAAAAATGCAAAAAGGGCATAACTAAAAACAGGTTATATGGGTTCCACCAGTCATCTTCATATTCATATCATAAAAGTGGCAAGCGGATTGACATACAAAATGCAACACAAGAAGTCAAATAAATGTGTGAACATGAACACACTATGTTGCGTACCCACAATACTGTCTCACAAGAAGCCAGGTTGGCTCGCTCAAAGTGAGGGTATTGGGAGAGATGGAATAGGGAGAGACCTAACATTAAATTATATACGCAATGACAACCCTCAAATTTGAACCCACAACATTGTAATTGTTAACTTGAGAATTTTACCACCAATGCTATCTCAGGTACTAAGTTATTCGTATAAGTATGAATTTGAACCTGATCAATAACAAGAGAACAAGAAATGATAGACTACTGCATGGGTAATGAAAAAACGAATGAGAGTTAACCCATTTGTGATTCTGCATTGGCATGTAATTAGAATACATAGTAAAAACATCCTGAAAACAAATATGAAATAAGTATATTTCCTGAGCTTCAAACATTCAAGACTACATCAAGCAATACCAAATCACAATTATAAAAATTTAATAAAAAAGCATACCAAAATTTCCCAGTGGCTGCAATGTTTTCCAATATGTTTCTTACTTCGTCTTCTACAATCTCATGCTTGGATTCCAAGACTCTGAAATTCAAGTACAACCAAACCAGCTATTAAAAAATAAAGCTGAGAAGCTTCAAACTAGGTCTAGTGGGTAGAAACAAAAAAATCATTGGAAAAGACTCCCTGACATGAAATTTAGTGGGCTGCTATAGAAATAAAACAAGTGTTCAAGACAGACTTATTTAAGAAAAAAAATCCATGATTGTCATTCAATAATTTAACTCACAAACAGGGTGTATAGACCTTATTTAAGAACACCAATGCTCTCGGAAATAATGGTTAAACAAATTAAGCACAACACATGGATTGTCAAATTCCATGTTATAGAGTATCCACCATTTGACGGGCTTAACAAAAAGATTGGTTGACTTTTGAGTTTATAAATTGGAATATGGTACAAGAAAAAATGAATACAGATACAAGACACGAGTCACATGACAACAATAAGATACGGACAGACTGATAGCATATATTTTAAAACCAAGATACGGACAAAACTAGGATACGTCTACAATAAAATCTAAATTTACATTTTTATTATATCATGTAACAAATATCATTTTCAATTAAGTTTGCCAACTGGACAGCAGTTCCTCAATTGAAAAGATGGCAGAACATGAGCTTTGCCTACCCCCAAAAAAAAAAAAAGCAAGGCTTTTCATTTAAATTCACACAACCAGCAAGTGGCACAAGCAACCCCTTCACATGGTCCTCTCTCTCTCTCTCTCTCTAATTATTTTGTATCTATACATATTGGTAATTTGATTCAACTAGGTGATACATATTGGAGAAATTGAATTATCGAAATCAAGGTTTGTGGGGCTACGAATGGGGATAACAGTCAGTATTTTTGTGCTTTTTTTTTCCAAAGAGAAAAAAAGCTTTTATTAGATAAAATGGTGAAGAAAAGTACATAATAGTGGATACAGAATCCACCCCTTCAAAAGATAAAAATACATCATAAAAATAAAATGATCCAAAAACTAAGAGATGATCTTCCAACGACATGCCACTATCCAATTGAGATGAATTGCAAACAAAGGCACATCTTTAAACTCCTTAGTTGTCAGTGCCCAAAGAGAAGCCAAGAACTTTACTCTATCCCAAAGTATTTCCCGGTTTTCTTCTTTATCTTCAAATATTCTTCAATTTTTTTCCTTCCATAGTACCCAAAAAAATTGTCATCATCACACAATTCCACAAAATCGATAATCTTTCCCCTTCAAAAAAAAAACATTATATGTCTCAAATAGGGCTACAGATCTACTAGGAATAACCTAACTCAAACTAAACGCACTCAAAGCTTTATGCTACAAATTCAAGGTTGCTAGGCAATGGAGAGAGAGATGGTCTACACTTACACAACATCGTTTACAAATAACGCACTAATATGGGGAGACATGAGCTTGGTCTTCTATTTTGCAACAACTCGCAAGCATATAGCTTTCCATGAGCTATAGTCCATGCAAAAAAATGAATTTTAATAAGACACCTTAGCTTTCCAAATCATCACTTAAAGGATCATCAAATAGGACATTGAAATAAGGTTTACATGAAAACACTCCAGAAAAATCATGGTCCACAACCTTTTATTCCCCCTCCCTGGCACTAAGGAAATCAAACTGATCAAAGACCACAGGGAAGTAAATTTCACAATTTCCCTGTCATTTAAGGACCTAAAAAAAATTCGAATTCCACCCCTATTGAGAAGACGATGAAAGAACAAAATACACACTTTCAACGGAAGATTCAAGAGAACGAGATAATCTATAAATGAGGGGAAAAAGTGCTACTGAGGCAAAAGAAAGGTAAGATATGGGCAAAAAGCTAGAGGTTGCTGTGCAGGAACAAGCATGGACATACAACAAAGACTGGGAAGCACAGTTGCATGCCTCTCCATAGCCACTCTACACTCTATAGATTATTAGTACCAGGCGCAATCGCATGGCAAAGAGGGTGTTTGTGAAGACTGTGGTGCATATGCTAAAGCCATTTCAAGTGCTATTTTCATGCTTTGTTCCAATTTGTGCTTGATTTAGGTACATTAATTACTAAAGATTCGACCTTGTTTTAACATTGGATCTGTGGCTTTGGTTGAATTTGCATTATGGTAGATGTCATTTTTAGGCATGGCTATTTTGGATTTCATTATATTTTGGATTCGACATGCATCCAAAACTAAAAATATATTTCATTAATTATTTGATGCATACCTTCTGTATCTAAAATGTGTCTTTGCATATCCCATGTGGGTCCATATGCAATATTACCAAATATGGATACTTCAACCAAATTGAAGTATCTATCTAAGTGGAGTTTCAGTGCTTCATAGGACTAGAAAGATTTCAAATTGGTAAAAAACTTAAAAAAAAAAATAAGTTATAAAAAGCAAAGGGAAATTGATGCTCATTGGCTAACAGATGATTTAAGAATCAATCTGCAATAAAAAATGCTGACATGATTGGTACTTTGGCATGAATAACCATTTAAGTGCTAACCTATGGACTTCCCAAATCAAATACTCAGCAATAACAAAGGATAACTGTTTAGTAAAGGAAGAAATGTACAGATGATTTGAGTGATCAGAAACCAAATTATCATCATGGTTTTGATCGGCAATATTAGAAGACACAGTCATCAAGTCCTGTGAATGTTCATTTCTTGACACCTCCACGGTAGTCGTTAAGTCCTGTGAATGTTCATTTGTAGACACTTCAACAGTTGTCAAGTCCTGTGAATGTTCATTTCTTGACACTTCCACAGTTGTCAAGTCCTGTGAATGTTCACTTCTTGACACCTCCATTAAGTTATGACCCGTCACCTCACCTACATAACATAGTCAATGTTGTAATACAGGGACAATAATGTGGCAAATCCAAAACGACTGTCAAAGAATAGTATAACAAGATGACTATATTTTCCAAAAAAATTGAAAAATTTGAAAAGAACATGTAGAGAGGGCAGTGGGCATTGTAATATTTTCATATGAACCAACTACCAGCCTTTGCACTGGGACAATTTTTTTTTCCTTTTCCTTTTCTGACAGGAAACAAAACTTTCATTAAATAATGAAAAAAAGTACAAAGTAGTGGACAAGAAATCCACCCTATGAGGAAGATAAAATAATTTTATTTCCTTTTGGAACTTAATTTTAGTTTAAATTTTTTTAAAATGTATTTTTTGGGTCATTATGTTTTTTTTTTTTTGGGTTTTTCATATACTGCTTTCGAAATTTGAATTTTGTCTTGGACCTCCGTTTCTAAGCAATTATCAATACTGGACCTATGGAACGGAACTATAATAAGATAGATCCAATAAGAACAAATAAATCAAGAAAATATACACAAACCAAATCACTTGGAACTAGATAAGTTGGCATCTGAACCCTAATTTTCTTGCTTCGCATCCTATGCTATCACCAAGTGAACGGAGAGTTACCTGAGAACGCTCGCGCTTAATCAGATGAGGCGAGCTGCTGTATCAAAGGTTCAAACAAGCGACGCCATGGAGAGAGAGAATAGGGAACCGACAAACAGGATACCATAACGCAGTTACTGGCGCATGGCAACGCATTTATCACCCGCTAAGATATGGGTCAACTTCGGGTGTTAGTTTGTTAGTTTAGGGTTTTTACTTTGGCAACCTTCATTTTACCACCACGTAGTTTTGGCTTGTTTGCACGTCACTTCCCTATGACCTTTAAATGGCAAACAACCCCCCCCCCCCCCTTTTTCCTTCCCTTACATCCCTTACGGAGAGGTCTATTAAATTTGACACGATACGATTAATTAATATAAATTAAATAAATTTGGGTGAGATTTTAAAGAATTTGAGTAATAAACGAGTTGACCTGTCATACACATTTAATTGATAGATCGTGTTCGAATGAGACATATCAAACTATTTATCACACGTTAATCTATTTAAATAAATTTAATATAATAATAAATTAATAATAATTTTAAAAAATTAACCAAAAAAAAAAAAAAGAGTCAAGAAATCAATGCAAAAAAAAAAAGTAAAATAGTAGTTCAAAAATAAAGGAGGGAAAATGGGTAGCAGTTCATGACAAAGACAAACCAAGTCCTTTTATTTTTGTCCCACATCAACAAATAAGGGGAGATGGAGAGGGGTGCCTTGCCTATAAAAGGCAGTGGTCTATGACCTGTTTTTTTTAGCCATCAAGTCTAATTTTTATGTAAAATTTGGCTAAAAAATTTCTTTTTTTTGTGGTAAATATAATTGACAGTAAAAAAAGTGATATATTAAAATTTGTTGATATAATTTTTTTAAAATTAAACGAGGTTAAACAAGTTATGTTGTGTTGAGATTTTTCACCTGTTTATTAAACGTGTCGTGTACAGATTTACATACTTT